ACACACACACGCACACATACTTCTGGCTGCTGCAGCATGAACAGGCGGGAGGCACCGCGGAATCACGCGGCCTCTTGGCCCGGGCCACGGGCGCCGTCACAGGAACAACAACAGCGCTCCCTCGTGCCGTTTGCTGAGGTTGAAACTGACTCCGCGAGGATCAGCGTTCTTCACGAGACAGTTCCGCACAACCCGCGGCAACTTCCTCCTCTTGCGAGTTCCACTACCGGCTATGGGGTAGATGGGGGGCATACAACAGCCACCTCCATAACGGTCGCGCTGCCGCACATTCAGCGTGGTAGGGGAAGCAGTGCGGTGTGCATGAGTGCCGCGGAGGTGGTCCCCATCTTGGTCCCCAGAGAACCGGTCGTGCCGGTGTGGAATATCCCCCAGTACAGCGTGCGCAGCGTGATTCGGCGAAGTGATCACCCGCTGTGGTCAGACTCGGCGATGGTCCAGCTGAATTACTTGCTGGACGGCGGCAGCAGCACTAGAAGCTGCAAAGGTCCGTCACGTCTCTCCTCACCCGATGATAAGAGTCACAGTATGCATGCCAAGGGGCTGGTGCATTCAACTAGAAACACGCAATCCTTTTCGGCGGTCTCAGAACTCCCTCAAGACACCAGTGAGATGCGGTTCTACGCGGATGAGGGACAGAAATGCCAATCGCCCCCAGTTCTGTCGACAACCGTAATGAACACAGGGCTAGAAGGTTACTTGACTGGCCGATCAATAGACCGCGATATCATCATGGATCCACCACACGAGCGGGAGCAACAGTGGCTGCGTCTTCGGCCACGAGAATTTGCCACGCTCGTTCCGATGCTGCTGCGTGACGAGTGTGTCAGTCGCCAAAGGATTGTTGAGGAAGAGAGGGACGAGGCACTTCGCAAGATACCACTGCCTCCGCATGCAGCGGAAGGGATGCCACATCCAGCAGCAGCAGCCGGTTGCAGGGAACTTGACCTCTTGGAGAATATACGCCGTGGCCACATGTTGGCAGAGGAATCCGCCTGCTTCGAACGTGTGCGGGACTTGTACGCCTACGTACACCGCGGCATGGTTGTGGGAACAGCACCACTCAAGCAATTCCTGCTGCGCTGGGTGTGGAGCTACAAGGGCCGCAAGATGAGGCAACTGGAGCAGCGAAAACGGTTGTGGATGCAAGAGGAGATTTCTCGCGGTGACATTACAGTTGAGTGGTGGGAGGCGCAGCAACAACTCTTTGCAGGTATGGTGGTCTCTACGGAGACCCTGTTCCGTACCGCTGTTGAAGTGCTGCAACTGTGTACGCAGTACACCCAGCTCGTCGCGCACCTTCGCCTCAAGGAGCAAGTGGAGCGTTTTCCGCTTTTGTATGGCGCCGTGATGCCGCACGCTGTTGTGTGCGGTCGCATCTCCGGTCACACGGTCTTCAAACATCTCGACCTGCACGAGCAGCACTATCGCTGTCAACTACACATGTCGGAGAACAGCGAGCGTAGTGGAATCATTCGCATGACGCTTCGAGAACATTTGATGCTCTTTTGGGAGGTGGCTGGGCGTCAGCGGCTCGTGGAGGAAGAGTCTGCTATGCGTGTGCAGCTGGCCTTCCGTCTCTTCCACATGCGTGAGCGCTTCCACCTCCGCGAGTTGGAAATTATGGAAGCATGCGAGCGGCAGTTGGGCTTGGAGCCTGCGTACCATGCGTTGCTGGCTGTGGGCAGCGAGGCGGAGCAGCGGCAACGGCGCCGTGGGGAGCAGGCGGTGCTGTCAACGGATGTGGCTCAGTGGTGCACGGGTTAGTGAGGTTTCTTCCTCTCGCACCTTCACACTGCGCTGACTGGCGCAACGAACTCTCTCACTCTCTCACACACACACACACACACAGAGAGAGAGAGTGAGAGAGAGACGACAGGTCAGCAGCCAAGGAGCACGCTCATCACCCTTTGAGTGGGTGGTGCGAATGGGACGGAGAGCTTTTGACGATGACTCTCCCGTGTAAACTTCTGTGTGTATCTGAGTCTGTAAGTGCTTGTGTCTTGGGCGCAAGACTGTTTGTGTGTGGTATCAATGGCAGTTGTGGCGGCGATGGGCGTGGGATAAGGGCGTATATATGTTGTGGGCGATCACCTTTTTATTGTGTTGGTTTGTGTTGATCCATGTCGCTGCGTTATATGTACAGAGAGCAAGAGAGAGAGAGAGAGAGAGAGAGAGAGAAGGAAAGAGAAACACGTCACGCGCCCAGAATGCATTTCACAAAAAGTGTGACGAGGAGGTCTCTCCCCTTTATGTGTCTGTGTGTCTATGCCGGTGCGCCTCCTTCGTGGAATGATGCGATACGATCTCACACCACTGCGCGAGAAAACTGCAGTGACAGCGCAACGCCACTCTGTGCTCAGCGTCCCTTGTGTTTCTCATCCCTCTTCCTTTGCATTGCGGCAGTAAACAACCAGAAGAAAAGGAAAACAAGAAGGCCCAGCGTGGTTGCTACCGGAGGGCGCCAACACAGAACGCAACATTAGTCCCGTGAAGAGTGAAGCGCGCTGCAGATGCCGCTCACTGCCACCGCGATGCGCCTCATCATGCGCCAGCTGCAAGAGCTGGAGACGAGCCCGGTGGAGGGCGTGCGCGTTCACCAGACGGACAGCCTCAGCGATCTGCTCTTCGACTTCGCCGGGCCGGAGGGGACACCGTTCGACGGCGGGCTCTTTCAGGTCGTGCTGCACTTCGAGGACGGCTACCCGGAGGTGCCGCCGCGCGGTGTGTTCCGCACCAAAATATTTCACCCGAATATCGCGGAAAAGGGTGACATATGCGTGAACGTGCTCAAGCGCGACTGGAGCCCGAACCTCGGTCTGCGCCATGTGCTTACGGTGATACACTGCCTCCTGATTGAGCCGAATGCAGAGAGCGCCCTCAACGAGGACGCGGCACGCCTTCTGTTAGAGGACTACAACGCCTACAGAAGGAAAGCGGAGATGATGAAAAAGGTGTACGCAATGAAGGGTGCTAGACCACCACTAGAGTCACGCCAGCTGCAACCAGCCGATGTCATGGAAACACAGAACCAGTCGCAGCAGCAGCAGAAGCAAGACTTAGTTAGAAAGCCTCCGAATGTCGCTAGTCCAAACATGCCTGCAGCGGAGGGTGGGGCTGGTTCGCACCTCCGCAACGCCTCGGAGTCCGCACTCAACACAAGAAGTGTGGAGGGTGGCGTTTCCGCAAACTTTGGAGCCTCCAAGAAGGCAGTGGAGAAAAAGCGCACAGCCCTTAAGCGCATCTAGCTACACCCACTTCCTAGTGCGTGAGTACCTGCGTGGGTGTGATTGGGCGAATATTGTGAGGAGAGGGAGGATTATGCACCCCTGCGATGTCGCGTATGTGTGTGTGTGTGTGTGTGTGCGTGTTTGTTTTTTGTTATTGTTCTTCTGAAGGAATGTTTTCGATGCGATCAAATAGGCAGTCGTGTAACATCATAGAGCGTGTGTNTGTGCTCCAGTGCACAGTGGACGGGCAATGTGTAAAACGATTAGAGTCTCGCTGCCCCGACTAGATGGGAATTTGTGTGTGTGTGGTTGATGTTGTTGTTGTTAAGAGGTGTAACGGCTTCGCATGGGCAACGGCGTGCGAGAATGCTTCTTCATCTGCGTCAAGGGCGCAAAGGATTGAGGTTTCCTGTGGTCTCGCTAAGGAAGTAATACTCTCCCTTTCCAAGGAGGGAGACGTTTCCTTTTCCACTTTTTTTCCCCCTTTTCATCTTCAATCTCTTATTACTTCGTTTTTTTTTCCCCGCTCTTTCTCCTGGCGCCCCAGGCCTGCCACGTCCACACGGCGGCGGCAGCACACACAGCTGGCAGCCGCTGTGGCGCGTAGCTCGTTCCGCCAACGGGGCGTGGTGGGCCTCTCTCTCTTCCACCCCCCNCCACACCGTTGTGGCACGGCTGGTGCTGCGAAAGAGGCACAACTTGGTGCGACGGGTAGTGACGAGCGAGATTATGCTTTCTGCGGTTTCCTGCACTCTTGCTGTTGAGGTGTCTCTTGCCTTTCCCTCACTCTATCTCTCTCACGCACATACACGACGACACACGAGTCAGCAAAAGAAGAGTATAATCAATAAAATTGCGAGGAACTCTAAGGTTCGAGCCAGACCTCGCAGTTCACTGCCCACAACTCTCGCACGCCCACTCTTTACACTGCGTGGGGCGAATTCGGTTTGTTGCTCTGTCGTGCTGCTGCCACACACGCACAAACACCTCTCGGCAAGTGTCTCTACGACCCACAAGGCGTTGAGTGGAATATACACCATCCTGCACCTTGTCCTTTGCTGCTTTGTAACAGACTGAAAAACAGTTGTGCCCTGGCAATAAGAGCGGACGAAAGTATTAACGCGCAAAGAGAATGCCGCAACTATCCGAGAGGGACTTGTCGAGTGTGCAGAAATTTTTTGATGCTATGCATGCGGCGTTGGCGGCCACTGAAAGTAGGAAGGCGGAGGCGGCGGGAACGGCAGCGCAGTCTGCGTCACTACCGCCTGCCACTGACACTGCCGCCGCAACTACAGCTGGAGTTGCACCAGCACCAGAAGTCAGAGTTGCGGGCAAAGTAGGGACAGCCGAGCGACGTGTTTGGGCGGAAACGGCGTCCGTATTCTGGCGCATTGCTAGCAGGCAGCAGACACAACTCCTGTCGTACGTGGCCACTGATGCGACCCGTGCAATGTGCATTCTATGTGATGGACTCCTTGATTATGTGCTTGGCGAGTTTGAAAGCTTGCCAGCCAATGCTTCACCACCTGAGGTAGTAGCGTGCGCCTCTTCCCTCGGTGGAGACCATATATTTTTCTTCATAGACGCCTTCTGCTCGCTGAAAAGCTGCATCTCCATGATGGGCGGCGAGGAGGCCCGCGGAAAAGACATCCACGCGCACGTCTGTGAGACAGTGGTGCGGCAGCAACACTTCCGCTGGATGACGCGTGTGTTCTGTGCCTTCTGTGAAGAGGCACGGCGGATGTATATGGAGAAGGGCAGCATCACTGGTGCAGCCGTGACAGCTACGCGGGAGGTACTGCGGTGCGTGTTGCATTGCTGCACGGCAAGCACTGCATGTGCACGTGCATTGGTGTACACGGAGCCGCGGCCGCTAGCGGCGAATTTGCTGCACGGCCTCCGCCTGCGCATCGCCACCTCGTCGCTCATTCGCCCTTTCGTGCGACATGCCTCGCTGCAGCGCGGCAGCAGCGGAGGCGGCGACGACTTCATACCGCAGCGAAAGCCAACAAGCAAGTGCACGTTGGCCGAGAGACTCGCCAGCGGTCGAAAAAACGCGTACGATGAGATATCCAGGGAGGCGCTCGCTGTCGCGGTGGCTGCGGTGGAAAAGGCGGCCGCGTACGAAAGCCCCGCTGTTGTCACCGGGCTCTGTCTCATCATTGAGCTGAGCTCGCGCGCTGTTACGCCGGCGCAGGGTGAGGCAGGAAAATTGTCGCTCAGCGTGCAGGTCGCCATGTATGAAAATATGCTGGCAGCGTGGGATGCCCTCTCCCAACTGCTGCAGTCAAGCGGCGAGGGCGCGTCGGTGCACGACTTGGCCGCCCACCGCGAGGTGATCCTGCAGCAACTCCTCAAGCACGATCTGGCAGGGTGTGTGCGGTGCATCTTGCGCTACTGCCCAGCGCTTGTGGAGTGCGAGCCGATGCTCTTTAGGATTATGAGGACTCAGTGCACGCCGCCCATCGCACGCAGCAAGACAGTAGCAGAAGCAGCAACGGTGGCTGTGCAGGTTGGCAACCCATCGCAGCATCAAGGTGGGAGCAGCGAGTTGACCAACGAAAGTCTACACAACCGTGGTGGGATACCGAGTTCACTCACTGATAGCATACATATGATGCGGGCGCTCCCACGCGAGTTTGGCGCCTCTCTTGGCTCAAATCTAGCCAAGTCACTCTGGATGGGTATCTGGCCGGGGACATCCCGCGCATCCGCTACCCCTATATTAACAACAACAACACCGTCAACAGTAGCGCGGCAGTCAACGCCCGACGAGGAGCAGATGAGCTCACCGGATCCGCGCATGGTTAACGACTCTGTGTCCACAAACCCCCAACCCCTGCTTAGATCATCGGAACATGATGAGAAGTGGTGGTTCGAAAACAAAACGTTTGTCATGGTTACGAGTAGCCTGACGGAGGTTCTCAGAGAAGTTTTTACAGACGTTACCATGCCGCTCTCCCTGCGGCTATCGAGTTGCACCCTGCTCTCTCAGATTACGATGCGCAGCAGCAGTGCCTTTTCTGAGTTGGAGGGGCGTCTAGTAGTGCGTGCGTTCCTTAGCGGGCTGCGGCATCTGGAACAACGGCTGCAGTCGGCCCCCGTGACGCCGGGCGTCCCTATACAGGATGACGACGTCATCTTTTCTCGGACAGCGAGCTCTACCGGAGGGGAATTCATCTGCAAGAGCGGATCTCCTGAATCTGTGGATGAGAACGCCATGTACGCTGTGCTTGCGCGCCAGATATTGTCAGCGCTATGGCAGACGTACCACGTGCTGCACGAGCCGCCGCTATCTGGTGAGGTGGTGGATCTTATAGAACTACCATTGCTGCTGCTACGGTGGTGCGATGAGGCGGCTACCAACGCCGCTGCTGATGGAGGTGTCGAGGCATACGACACGCTAAAGTCTCTCTTGTCTCCCGTAGTGCGATTGTGGTACACCAGCCTTATAAGCGATGACGATGAGGATATTAATACGCGCTCGCATGAGGTTCTAATGGAAATGCTTGCGATTCTGCTCAAGATGGGATCTATACCCGCTGCGGATACGGAGAAGTTGGATGTCTCTGGAGGTGCAGATACAACTCCTGCGACTTCAGTTTCTGTATCTGCTGCGACAGTGGTCCACTTGGGTACTGAGAGTATTGCATCGGCCGAAATCGATGCTACGGTTTTGGAAGCATCACAAGTAAAGTGTGGTGGCACCGTTCTAGGGTTGTGTGACATCTTCACCATCCTCTTAAAACGCAACACCCGTTTTCTCTCTACACATCTGCTGGAGATATTGTTTGCTCTTCTCTGGGCTAATGATACACGACTCTCGAAACTGGGACGGCGCTGTATTACTAGCAGCCTAGATTTCGGTGAGGTCTACGCGGTGTATGCGGAGGTAATACGCAACGCAGATCCTTCTTTGCTATTACAACTGCTTCCGCTATTCTCTTTGGAGCTCGTCTTGAGTAAGGTGCCGGCTGACGCCAAACATGAACGCCGTGTGCGGCTGTTCCAATATGGATGTGTCGATGCGGTAATTACGGTGCTTGAGCATCTTCTGCTGGTCCCGCATCACGTTGGGGAATTCCCACGGCTCATTCAGCAGCTCTTCCGCTTCCTATCGGTGGTGGAGTCGCCGCAGGGGTCGGGGCCACACTTGGCGGAGACGCGATTGGTGCAAATGTTCGCCGAGAGTCTTGTCTCACTTGAGGGGGCGGAATTTTTCATCCTCATCTCCCAGGCTGTGCTCAATGCCGCTACGTCCAAGTATGACGACTACCGAAATTACTCACGCCGTGTGCAAATGCATGGACACTTTAGTCTGTCCATCCCGAATTATTCGGTGGAGAAGCCGGTATTCGTAGACCTTATTCCGCCTTTGCTGCGTCACGCACACGAGCACGCGGTAGAGCTAGAAAGCAACCTTCTCTCTGTCGTTCATCTGGTTCTAAAGAAGACGGCGAAAGTGCGCTCCGATGCGATGCTGCAGTGGGTGCTCGAGGCGCGGCAAACGGCACTTCTACCTTATTTGGAGCTCGACGCCGCTTCGGCAGATCACCAGCTTCCGTATGTGGGGCGCAGGGACGAGCTCGAGTCGTTCTGGGCGCCGATTCTGCGTGAGGCACCGGAGTACAGCGAGCTGCGTTTTAATTGCACTGGTGGTATTGTTGTAACTATGGGGCAATGGCCAGAGAAGGGATTCTCCATCTCCGCCTCCTTTCGTTTCGAGGAGATCTACAGCACCATGAACTTATTTGGTTTTGTTGACTGTGATGTGCCGTCGCCATCGCCGGCGTCCATCTACATCGCGGGCGGCGACAGCATACACATTATGCAGGAGGGAAAGAAGATGTCTGTGAATGAGAGCCAAGCGCTACAGGGCCTTGCCCCGCGACGTTGGGTTCATTGTCTTGTTGTGATGAGCGTCGCTCACACTGTCAGCGTGTATCTCAACGCAAACAGGGTTGGGACGTGTACGTTGCCGTACTTTCGGCCTCACACGGAGGTGATCATTAACATTGGCTTTGTCAATGATGTTGTGCATGACGCCCTCTTCTCTATTGGCGATGTCTCCATGTGGGATGAGGAACTAACCGCACCGCAGGTTGAGGCGTATGTCGCCATGGCACCGTACCAGCCGAATGTTTGCAAGATGCTTGTTCAGGAGGTACCACGTGAGTTATCAGAGAGCCGCGAGGCCTTGCCCGTCGACGACCGCATTGCCGCCTTTGTGCCATATGAGAGCCGTGACACGCTGCTGCTGAGCACCCTCCACGCGCAGCAGGAGAAGTACCCAATCATGGCGAAGCTAACCGGCAACTACGCGGAGCCGCCGAAGGGTTGGATCGATTACCGCGATCTCTTCCTGTCCCGTGGCGGGTTGCTGTATCTGCTTGACTGGATCGGTCAGTCAAACAGTGCGGAAGAACTGCAAGATTACGTGGCGCTTGCATGTAGCTGCATCCGCAGCACTACCACCAGTGGCACCATGGACTGGCGCACATACGCGCTGCTCGGCCACCACCTGTGCCGCCTGGCTCACCTCATCACGCCGGCCGTGTGCGATAGTCTCCTAGACCTTGCAGCGACGCAGGTGAGCGTCAACGATGAACAACACCCCTTCATTATCAACCGTCTCGTGTTTGACCACATTCTGCGCAATATGGCGCTGATTTCCGCTATGCCGGTGGAATGCGCCGAATATATTATGGTGCGTGTGGAAAAGATGTTCACGTTCGCCTCCTGCCGCTTTGCACGGCGGAACGCTAACTACGTTCTGCCGTTCCGCTTCGTTGACAGCGTGCTCAACAGCCTTGTCTATGAGGCTGTCTCGCTACCCTTCTCCATCTGCGCCCGCGTCATTTCGTGCGTGAAGCAGATCATGATTGCCTGTGACTTTGAGCCGAACATTGTCAACGCCGTTGCGTCCACGCCGGCGATGCTCACACCGGCCGAGATGGAGGTGGTGAGCCTGCTGCAGCCATCGGTGCGGGTGGTGCTGCCGAAGGCGCGATTTGCCCAGATTCGCGTCTCCCACCGTGTAGCGTGTGACATCACTCTCATGATACTGCGCAGCCTCGTCGAGTGTTGCAGTAGTGCTGCCTTCATTACAGCCTTTGGACTCATTGTTGATCTCAATTGGTTCGCTGCTTGTGTTTCGCGATTTGCAGATTCGGCTTCTGTAGTGTACGCGGCGCGGCTCTTCTTTGAGGCGCTACAGTGCAACGCGCTCCTGCGAAACGAGGTAATGCAAAACCCGGCAGTCGTTGTGGCTGCGCTTTCACCACACAGCTTCAATGAGGATCTGGTGCTTCTGCTTCTGAGTCTGAGTGTTGGGGCGGCGAAGCGCATTGACGTGCTCGCGTCGAAGCACCCATTGCTCGAGCAGCTGGACGGCATCCTCCACTTGATGGTGCCAGAACCCGACGCGGTGGCCGCACCCATATTCGCCAAAGTCTTTACGCTTCACTTGAATGCAACTCTGTTGACTCCCTCCTGTTTCCGACCATGTGGTATCAGTACTGTGATGCAGCGGCGCCTGCATTGCTCGTACCGCCTGCACAAATACTTTAGCCTCGCACGGGTGTGTAGCCGGCTGATGCTGCTTATTGAGGTTAAACGTCTCCTCCCACCCCAAAGTGGTGGTGAAGGTCTTGCAGTAGCAACAACCACAACAGCTGCAGTGGCGGAAGCAGGCGCCTCACAATCATCGACATTATCTTCACCGGGAGAAGGCAAGCAGGAAGACGTTATGCAGCCTGGTACCCTGCCGTTTACGACGCTGCGTCGGCATCGCGGGGCATGGATGGTGCTGCGCGTGTGTGTCCGTCTATGGCGCACGGCTAAGCGCAGCCGCTATCAAGTGCTGCTGCAGCGCGTCAGCAATACTGAACCGCTCCGGGTTTTGGATAAAGAGGTGAGTGGGACCTTGTTTGTGCTGCACACGCTTCAACGGCTTTCCTCTAATCCGAATCTTTTCGTCTCGCTCACACTATCACCATACCAGACCGCCTCTCTCGCCTTCTTTGGGACGTTCCTGCAGCGCGCGAAGGTATTGGCAAATACTGAAGAGCTTGAACGTGCACAGTGGGGCCAAGCCCCAGTTGCTCTTTCGGCGGACATTGCAGGAGCATCAACAACATCAACAATCGCGGCGCCGATGGCGGTATCAGATGGACGCGCGAGTATGGATGTTGGGAGTGTCGACAGCGTCACTCGCTCTCAAGGGGGAAGCAGTGTGCTGCAGTCCTCGCCGACGAGGTGGGGTGGTGCCGAAGATGATGACGACGATGAAGTTGAGTATGGAGAGGAGGAGGACGCATACGCGGAGGAAGAAAAGGGTCCACAGCCATCATTGCCACTATCACCACCACCACTACAACAAGAACAACAACAAGAGTCAAGGCTTGCGCAACAAGAACAGCTGCAGCAAAAGGAAGAAGAGGTTGAGGAGATAAGGCAGCACACACGCCGGCGCGCATCGTTACTCTCCTGGGCCTCGTCGCAGTCGGGAAGCGACGAAGACGACGACGGTGTGGAGCATCGCCTCGGCTCCATACTGGCGGTTGTTGCCCCAATTGCAGAGGACGATAGCGTGCACCGTGAGATGAGGAGCCAGATGTACGTGGGGGCCACAATAGGCTCGATTGAGGAGCTGAGTGTGCCGCATGCGTCGGTGGTGGAGTTGCTGCGTGATAACTCTGTGGAGGTGCTGCGTTGCACCATCACCTCCTCACTGCATACGCTGCCCGTCACAACGAGTTGGGTGGGCGGACAGAAGTACGGATGCTGCGGTGGCTTGTTGTTTCAAGTCATGCTCATCATGGGCGCCACATCGAGCACGGAAGAGGCGGCATCAACGCTGACGCATTTCTTCATGCAGCAAGTGCTGCGCTGCGTGAAGAGGCATGAGCACTCGCTGGAATCCTCGCGGCATATGCCGGAAATGGCATCATCGAAGACGATGGCGATAACAACAACAAAGGGACTCGGCAGGCGCGGTGGTGTTGGCAACAACAGCACCAGCAGCAACATCATTCATTCATCCAGCGCAAGCATGCTGCAACAGGGTTCGGTGTCGGACGTATTCTTCTTCAATGTCTGCCGCTTCAACGACCTCCTAGTCGATCTCCTCTCATTCAACGTCATGGAGTTGTCGCATCTCTCGCCGTACTTTGTTTCGATGCTCACGACTGCAGCTTCGTCGTGGCCGCGCCGCTCTCTACAGCAACTTCGCTCGCAGGTCGTGAAGGGCTGTATAGCGGTGCTGAACAAGCCTTCAACGCAGGAGGTGACTCCTGAACTAATGGAACTCATCTACCTCATGTTTACCCGTGCCATGACACCGCAGTGGATCATGAAGGACATGCTCGAGTGTCTCCTGCGCGTGCTGTTTCGCATCTACGCGGCACTCCCGCCGACGTCTATGAACGACGAGGAGACAACGCGGCGGAAAAGCTTCGTCATTTTGTGCATACGGCACATGATGCACACCTACAGCGGGAGCAAGGAACTGCAGAAGGCCCTCACCGCACGCACCTTGACACATCGCTTCTCACTCTACAAGGAATTTACAGCCACATTACTCGGAAAGGATGAGGCAGCTGCCATCGCCGCCTTTGACATCTTCTGCCGTAACAACATGACGACAGTCGATACGCTGATGTCTGGGCGCCCCAAGACGAAGGCAGACATTGCCTTCAAGTCATTGCTGAAGGACCGCAGCGAGTATATTAAACGCATCAAGGTGTTCAACGAGGCGTATACAAAAACAACAGAGCTGAAGGAGCAGCACAAGACAGCAGCATTAATCGACGCCTACACTTCCCGCTTCTCCTCTCAAGTTGGGCGCATCTCATCTTTAAGTCTATCCCAGGTTCACTGGCTGACGCCGCAGTGTTGTTCCTTTGAGCAAAGTGACCCTCGCGCGCGCTTGCTGCATTACATGGACACACGTGGGAACCACACGAAGGTGCTGGCTGGTTGGGGTTCAGAGGATGCCGTCCCCACTGTCGTGGGCGCTGATACATGCGAGCAGCAGCTCAACCACATTTCAGCCCTGGTGCCACCCTTTACCGTCCGTTGCAGGCCTTACGTGTACACTGGGTGTGTGCCTTTCATTGATCGTCGCTGCGATGTGAGCCACTCTGCGGTGAGTCTACTGCGATACCTCTTGGAGCCAAACGAGGTGCTGCGCTTCATTAGTAACGGGTTCCGTGTCAACGGTATCCACGTCACCCCATGCCTGGTTCTCCTCACTGATACGACACTGAAGCTCATTGGCTTTTCCCACATCACAGAATCGGGTGACATTGTCTTGTGCAAATGTGAACACGACGAAGAAGAAGCTGGTCGCTCTGTCACATGTGTTATGACGCGTCCGCCAAAGCGGAGGTCAAATGATGAACAGACCGCTCTCAGCTTCGCCCTCTCCATGACGAGTAAGTTGCAGCGCTTCCTTACTGACACCAGTAGTGGCAGCGACCGGCGGCGGCGGCGCGAGTCAGAGGCGTGCAAAGACGGAACCAAAGTGGCACAGTCTGTGCGACAGTCAACGGGGCACGCGTACCGTGATTTATTCTGGGTCTACCGCACGCGCAACATACGCTCAGTGCGTACAGCGCTCTACATGCACCAAGACACTGCTGTTCGTCTTGAGCTCATGTATGATGATGGGTTACTGCTGTCAGTTGTAGATGCGCAGCAGTCCATGAATACCCGCGTACGTGACGCGTTCCTCGCCATGCTGAAGGAAGTCCTCGGCACGCAGCGATACGATTTCTATGACCACTCTCAGCGAGGTGCCAGCATTCGATCAATGCTTATCCGCTGGGCAGCAGGATCTGTCTCCACCTTCGACTACCTCAAATTTCTCAACTGTGTGGCAGGTCGCACCATCATAGACTTTAACCAATACCCAGTTTACCCGTGGGTGCTCGCGGACTACAAGTCAGAGGAAGTTGCGCTTGATTTACCCGCGTCATATCGGGACTTCTCGCTGCCAATGGGGGCGCAGACCGAAACGCGCCGGCAAGCGGTGGCGCGACTGTATAAACAGATGATGGAGATGCAGACGGCGGAGCCGGACATGGAGGTTGTGGAGCCGTTCCACCACGGCACGCACTACTCAACTAGTGGAGGTGTGTTGCATTACCTTATCCGCGCCGAGCCATACACGACGTTTGCGCGTATCTTTCAGGGGGGCGATTTCGACGTGGCAACGCGTCTGTTTGACTCTATTGAGGCTTCGTTTCAATCGTGTGTGAATGGTCCAACGGACTGTAAGGAGCTAACGCCAGAGTTCTATTCGAATAGTATGTTCCTCGTGAATGTGAATCACTGCATATTCGGCGAAAAGTCAGACGGAAGCACCGTGAATGACGTAAGGTTGCCGCCCTGGGCTAAAGGCTCGACGCAAGTCTTTACCGCTATTATGCGGTACGCACTGGAGAGCAGCGCCGTCGTGAATAACATTCATCGTTGGATCGACCTCATATTTGGCGTCTGTCGCCGCGGTCGGCTTGCTGTGGAGAGGTACAACGTGTTCCAACGCATGACGTACGGTGAGGAGGTTGTGCGGGCACTTAATAGGAGTCATGACTCGCGCGACATCGATGTCATCATCGCTGAGGTCGACAACTTTGGGCAGACACCAATGCAATTGTTTCAGGAACGCCACCCAGCACAGCGAGAGCTCGAGCCGTGCGACTCGCCGAGTGGTGGCGGCAGTGCTGGTGCCGGCGCCAGTTCCGGTGGTGGTGCAGAAGGCGGTGGCAACAGCAGCAGCAGCGGTGGTAGTGGTGGTGGCAGTGGTGGCGTCAGCACGCGCAGCGGTCACACGTACAACACCGCCTTTCAGGAGCAGATGCCGAAGGTAGTCTTGATGGTAATGCACGCGCTTGATTCGCCGCAGACGTGGTTCGTCTTTGAGGATCCGGCGCCAGGAATCTTTCAGGCAACGCCTGCAAAACTCTCCGAGATGTTTCGTATTCACGACAACGCGGTGCTTGATTTTGCTACGCTTCGGGGTGGAACAAAGATGTGCTGCTACAGGTATATTGTGCCTGTTGACGATGCGGATTACATGATAGCCTGGAGTGAAGGCGAACATCTGCTGATGCGCTTCGATGTCACAAGCGGTCGTTTCCTCTCACTGTTGCGTTACACCTCAGCGCTCAAGGCGCCCGTAAGCGTTAGTGTTATTCGTGTGAGCTGCCGCGAGACGCTCATCCTCCTTGGCTCCAACAGCGGCACACTGTACTGCCTCACCCCGAGCTCAGAGGACGGTATGCTGCTACTGAGCTCGACGTTGTGCCACCACACACACTCTATTGCCGGTTTCGCTTCGGACACGCATTACGGCCGCGTCATCAGCTACACCACGTGCGGCGCTGATTTCCCTATTGTGTGGTGCGTTCAACAACAGCGCACGCAGAAGCTCCACCGGCTAGACACTACACGCATGATTCCCAACGCGACACCAGGCGACCGCATCGTTGTTGCTGCTGCTCTGGACCCGCGTTGTGCGAATTCCATCGTCGTCACACGCCGCCATCTTTTGATATTTGACCGGTATGGCGAGCCGTACGGCATTGGTGCCCTTCCCATGTCTGAAGTTGCTTCCCCGCACTTGGAGGACGAAACTGGCCAAGTTGGCTTCGCCGTAGACGGCGGCCACATGTTCGTTGCCAGCATGACAACCGTCACGACGTACGACACGCTTGAGTGGTGCTCCGGCATTCAGCTGCTGCTCACCGGGCACCAGGACGGCAGTGTGTCGCTCTGGCGGGCGGTGCGGCTGCCGCCGGATAGTGTGCAGCACGGCCGCATAGTGCGCGTGGAGTACCACGGGCCTCTTGTGGACAGTGATCAGCGCGTGCGGCTCGGCGCCGTCACGGCGATACGGCAGGAGCAGCGCGACGTGCCAGTGTTTCACATCGGTTACCACAGCGGCGCGGTGAAGGTGCTGCGCTTTGACAGCCGCGTCGCGGAGACGACGAAGACGGCCAAGTCGTGATGCCAACATTGCTGCTGTGGGAAGAGAATGGGGGGAGAAGCCGACAATGAAAACGAAGAGGAAACGAGAAGAAGGGAAGGTGAGTGTGTTTTGTTGTTGTTGTTGTTGTTTTTCTTTGGACGGTGCTTATGTCAGTGTTCTCAAACCGATTCTTACGATTGTTTGTTGTTTTGTTGTTTCTTTTGTCTCTGTTTATCTTGTGCCTGTGGTGGTGGCATCTGTCCTCGTGGGCAAGAGCGTGTGTAAAGGAATGTGATCCTGTCGTGAGTTTGGCGATCGACCATCACGGCACCCCCCTGCGTGAGCTCTGTTGGCTGTGTGTCTGTGTGTGACCCTTTCTG